GACACAGGTTTGTTCTTAGTTATTAAATACTGAGTAGTATCTCTCAATGTACATATTTTTTATAGCGATATATCTAATCTAGAAATCGTCTTAGACTAAATTAAATTTTGGAATTCAAGGCAGCATCTAGCACCAGTTCAAAGTAACTAATAAATTCATGTAGTTTCTCTTTCACACAATAACAGTATGACGAGAATTGGAGAATATATAATTATAAAATTATGGCTATTCAATGTTGTGTCAGTACACCGTTGGCCAGAAATCTTGCTGGATTCTCAAAAGAATCAATTGTGATTGACTAAGAACTACAAACAATCATCAATGTTTATCAATGATTTTTTAATGAGACACCTGACCTCAGGCAGCCCAATCTCTGAACGTCCTATATATTTTGAATATTTAACCGTTATAATATTTTAAAATAACAAAATAATTCAAAAAATATTAACAATATATGTAAAAAATATATCTCACTTGTTAATAGAATCCATTTGTTGTGTTTCTGAGTCTAGTTGATGCGATTGCTTTACGTTTTCGTCGTACTTGAACGGTCGTCAGTACTATGGCACTGGGCGACATGGCCGTATAGGACATAAATAACTACAAGGCTAGCCACTTATCTGATATACTCTCCGACATCGAGTCCAATATCTCGCCTCAGAATCGTTGCAGAGCAATAAATTTCACATCGTCTAATAGCACGAACGTTCCTCTTTCGAAAGAACTTGGTTTCTTCACCATTGCGGCAATTCCCGCGACACACGACGAACTTTGTTTGTCAAAAGTACAAATTTCCATTTTCGACAGAACCGCTAACCCCATGATCGTTGCCACGAGAGCGGCACAGCAACCTGGCCTCCTCGTTTGAAAACATTCCATCAGGGGGGAGGAGCTGGACTGGAATGAGGGGGCTTTCAAAGCAACACGATAAAACACACGATATAAATGTTTAATACTTGTTTATTGTCGAATACAGCATGATAAAGTAATAATTTCTATTTATATCGTGTGTTTTATCGTGTTGCTTTGAAAGCCCCCTCATTCCAGTCCAGCTCCTCCCCCCTGATGGAATGTTTTCAAACGAGGAGGCCAGGTTGCTGTGCGGCTCTCGTGGCAACGATCATGGGGTTAGCGGTTCTGTCGAAAATGGAAATTTGTACTTTTGACAAACAAAGTTCGTCGTGTGTCGCGGGAATTGCTGCAATGGTGAAGAAACCAAGTTCTTTCGAAAGAGGAACGTTCGTGCTATTAGACGATGTGAAATTTATTGCTCTGCGACGATTCTGAGGCGAGATATTGGACTCGATGTCGGAGGGTGTATCAGATAAGTGGCTAGCCTTGTAGTTATTTATGTCCTTTTCGACCATGTCGCCCAGTGCCATAGTACTAGACTCAGAAACACAACAAATGGATTCTATTAACAAATGAGATATATTTTTTACATATATTGTTAATATTTTTTGAATTATTTTGTTATTTTAAAATATTATAACGGTTAAATATTCAAAATATATAGGACGTTCAGAGATTGGGCCGCCTGTGACCTGACAAGGTTTTCTTCCCTGCCATTATAATAACATTATAATTGCATAATGAAACAATTATTGACTTTGGGTATCGCATGACATCAAGACCGGTCAATGTTATCTGCCGAAGGTCTGGATAATTCTTGATATCATGCTCATCCTCGTCCAATATGTTATTGTTGAATGTTTTTACAATTGTATCCCATTTTTGTTTCTGCATCTTGCTCTCTCTATTTTACAAATAGAGACTGACACAAACCTTGCTATCCACTCAAGTATATTTTTGTATAAAGTATCAAATCAAAATGTCCAAGGGAGAAATGTCAATTTCATATAAAAACAACAATCTAATTAAAGTTACAACTTGCTAAATATATAATATTAGTATCATATAATTGTTTTTGTTTGTGGAAACACCACGTAAATTTATTACTGCAGTAATAAATTTACGTAGTATTTCCACAAACAAAAACAATTACATTTTATCGTCATGCAAACATTCAAATTAGTATCATATAATTAGGATTAACCAATATTAACATAGTATTATATAACTAGGACAAACCAATCACAAAGATACATTAAATATGGTCTGATATACTTGTGCTAGAAATAGCCAGTCAGAGCTACATTCAATATTTTGCACCTATGTAATATGTCAGTTTGGATAACTCCTGTTTTTTTTTTTTAATTTCTGTAGATACACCTAATTAATCAACTCAAACAGATGCCTTTGTTTTGGCAGCCAGTTGGGACCACAACAATGAACAATGATATCTTTTCTGAATACAATAGCATCAAATAGGCAATTCCAGTTTTTAGTTTATGCCTGCAGGGGATGATAGGAAGTATAGTGCTGATTATGCTGAAAAATTTCAGTAAAAACTACCGAAGAAACCAAAATATTTCAATATTTACAAGTATAAGCTATCACTCCATGTTTACACGACCACCATTTTTATTTTTTCAGCATAATCAGCAATGCGATACCTTACTTCCCATCGTCCCCTGCACGCATAAACTAAAAGCTGGAATTGCCTATTGTCCTGGTCTAAACTTTCAATGTCCAAGTTCTAGTTTACAGCACCGTCCATTGAAATTCTTTCTGGAGGCAATGTTCCACTTTCAACAGTTTCTCATCAACTTTTGGTAGCAACAGTAATGGCATCATTGGAACAATTTATATCATTGCCAAATGACACTTTGTATTCTGTGTACATTAGTTCATACTAGATTGACACATCATCCATGGAATTATTCTGTAGAATAATTAAGATATTTGTATGTTACCATAGTCACTACTATAGGTTCACCAGGCAATTATAATGATAAATCTAATTAATTATTGTTATTTGTTGTTTTAAAATTTCCAAAGTGAAAGTTTTGAACTCATTTATTGGGTCGTTCCAGAAAAGATCCACACTCCCCTCACAGAGGAAATTTTTGCAGTGGAGACAAAATTGTTTCTGATAATAGGGGGAGGGGGGGTTACAATTCCCTCTCTGGGGGTGGTATGGATGTTTTCTGGAATGACCCATTAGCTTTGCCATGATACAGTATAAAGTACATCAAATAAACAGACAGACAGACATATAAAGTACAAGTGGCAGGGTTACCGCAACAGAAATTATACTCCCAATAACTGCGGGCCACCTTTGATAATATAAGCTACCAGAGTTCAGTGCATGTAGACATATTCACACAAACATTACAAACCTTGGGTGGTATAAATGGCCATCTATTATGCCACCAAGAAGGCAACAACCTTGCAACAACTAGGTTCATCCAAGAGTTGCAAATTATAAAAAGTACACACTGTTCCAAATCAAATACATATACACTGGGGACACAGCAATGAATACATACTTTATAGTACATATACTTTGTATTTTTATTCAATCAAAAATAATATATTTAATTTACATACCGTCTCTAATCGCAAATTCGACAATTGTTTCACTAGTCTCACTACGTGCAGCGTTTCACCCAGAGTGCATATGCTGTCATTGAATTTCAAGGAGCGATGTTTATTTATATAAACTTAGAAACGTTTCTTCGGTCCAACATCGTCAAAAAACTTCCTCGTTGTTCTCAATGCACTTTGAACAAACCAATTCACCGCAAACTTTAGGTTTGCATCCTGAAATGGCCTATTTGTAGCCATGATGAATAATTCATGAGTAATTCAATATTCTTATGTCTATAATTGGACGCCATTTTGGAAATATTATATGGCAGAGCCTTACGTAGCATCCGTCTTCCCATCATACCTTGCGTAATTTCTCCCCCCCCCCCCTTAATATTACGCAATTTTACTAAAAATTCGTAAGGTTCTGCTGAGGAGAGTGATCCGTAAGCACAGATCTTCATCAGTGCTAATAATATGATTAGCACTGTTATTTCCCTATTATTAGCACTGGTGAAGATCCGGGCTTAAGACCTTGTTACACAGTGCAAATTTTCATGCAACTTGTCTCGCAATGTTTAAAAAAAGATTTTGATAATGCATTGCAAGAGGTGTTACACGCTGCAATGATTTTCATGCAACTCGCAACGATAGGGGACAGAGGCATGCGTAAAGACTAGTGAGAGGCGCTATTTGGCGCCAAATTGTAATTAAAACAAAGCGTGTACTGGGGAAAGCCAATAGAAACTCTCCAAGCTATAAACCTTGCGAGACAAGTTGCACGAAGCCATGTTACACGCTGCAATGCTAAAGATATTTAGTGCAATCGTTGCCAAAAGTAGAACCGACGTCTACTCTAGCCCTGTGCAATGCTTCATGCAACTTGTCTCGCAAAGATTTTGACCATTGCAAGGCATGTTAAACGGTGCAATGACTCGTGCAACTTGTCTCGCAACGCCATTGCGAGACAAGTTGCATGAAAAATTGCACCGTGTAACAGGGCCTTTACGGATCGAAAGCTTTGCATTAATAAATTTATGTGGTGTTTCCACAAACAAAACTATTATATGTTTTATCGCCATGCAAACATACAAAGAACTTAAGTTGAAGAAAGACAACGTATTGAAATCAATGATCAATCAATTGTGAACGAAATGATGTTTTGCAAATGTGGGATACTATAGATATTTTTGGCTGGATACCAGATTTTAAGTTGCTAGAATCCTGTTGGATACTGCTGAAAAATTCAAATTTGAAGCCCTGTTTTAGTTAGTGGTAGCTTTTTTTATATACACATATTTACTTTGTTTCAATATATGTGATTGGTTAATTGTGATTGGTTAATGGGATGTAATAAACATATCTGATAAATCTCACATCATATGTGAGATTATTTGTGATAATTATCGCTTTTCAATTTATCACTTCTCTGTAAAAATTATCGCTTTTCAAAGAATGCCCTTTATATAATAACAATCAAAATAAATTTGACAAAATTATTGGAATATAATCTCACTTGAATGTTTTGTCGCAGTCTTGGTAGCGACAAGCGAAACGTCCACTTGGTGTCATTCGTTGACTATCCACTGCTCTTTTTTGTTCTTCTTGTTAAGGCTTGAACTGATTATTTGATTTGCAACTGTGTTGTCAAGGTTATGTTCATCTACTATGGTTGTTGATATTTTCCTGAAATATTTTTGCTGTGCTTTCTGATCTTGTTTTGATTCATTAATCGGGAACTTTTCTTTAGTCGGGGTTCCATTCAATTTCTTAAGACCGAGAACCTTCATTCCTGCAGCAACTACCCTTTTGAAACATTTGCTTGTTTGGGGAGTATGCATGTTTCGTATCTCTTGAAACATCCCTTCTGTTTATTAAATTTCTGTCTACGAAGAGCGTACATTGGTCATCAGCAGAACTTGTCGAGTACATTCTTGTGTAAATTAACTAAAATTAGAAAAACATGCACAGATATTCATAAGAACTATAAATCAAAATTTAAATTTAAATAAAATACAACTTTGGATTTGCTTAACCTAAAAAAGGGTGCATATACTAGTTCATCTTCCCACTAATTCTCCTTCAACTCCTTGACATTTAAATAGCAAAATAATGTGATGTTAGATTGCAGATAAGATCAAGAGTATATTGCCACTGAATGGGTTATTGGGCATTATGAAGATCCGACTTACCGAAAGAAATTTAAGCTCGGCATGCCAGTCTGCAATCTCGGTATGTATTCCTTCCAACCTTTCATTCGGAGTGAACCCATTTGATAGTGATAACAAGCAATTTACTGCCCTCTCAATAATTAATTGGTCGCCCACAATGCCTGCTTCGTGGTAAATTGATTTGTTTTGGCCACTTGTTGCTTTTGGTATGTAGCCGTGTAGTTAATTTTGTCAGGACTTTTGCGATGCCATCTGTTGTGTTGTCATCGTCAAACATAATCCCAAGACATTCCTGTAGAGAAGTTTATAATTGTCGTATGGATATTAATTATAAAAGAAATACTTATCCCTGTGCCTGGCCACAGAATAGACTACACAGAAGCCCGACTTCTTGGTTTTTCCTATCATAGACGGATTTTCATATTTTTTACTGGGGTGGTGCCAGAAATTTTAGGGGGGTGAGCCGTGAGCAGGTGACTGAAGCAACACAAAGTGTCACCAAACCCCAGTAAGGTCTATATCCTAGGTGTGGAGCACTACAGCCGCGTGGGGGAGTCTAGAGTGCAGAAAACAAAGTATCCCTGGAAAAATTTGAAAAAAATCATGAGTTCTAGCTTCGAAAAAAGTTTTTTGAAGTTGTCATATCAATTGATTTGACCGGTCCGATTGTATGTTGAGACTTGAGAGAGTTAAAGTTAAATGAACCTAAAAAAGTGTAAATCCAATAGGCCAATACATTTTACTTTAATTTATAAAGTCGTTGACATTGTGTCGTTTGAATCCGAGTACAATTTATGATGCAACTCCGATGTAAATAATATTTGGGGCGTAAAGATTAAATCTAGGCAAGACTATTTCCTAAAAGAATTAAAAACTAAAAGTAATGTTCGTAAAAATTCCAAATGTTCCTTGCAAGCAAGCTATTTGCACGACAAGGCACTGCAAACTCTATTCAGGGGAGATAATAGAGTTTCAAAACTTTACAATTGCTCCAATAAACCAGTGAATGCAAGTGAGGAGCGATCATTAGTTTCAGAGTCTTTTTCTATTAGAGTGTACCTGTACTCCTACGTTTATTTTGTATCATCAACACTCTGCACGTTGGAGTGGACTATTTAACTATTTTTTATTATGCCGAATATTGGGGGGGGTTTGAATATTTTTTGGGAGGTGGACATTTTTGTTTGAGGGGGTTATAGCTAATATTGGGGGTAACACCCCCCTGCACCCAACAAAATCCGTCTATGTTTCCTATGATTTTCCAACGATTTTGGTGTAACCGTATTTCATCATCAAAATGCTTGCGCCATGGTCCTAGCCAGTGTGCGTTTGAGAGGTATTCACCTCAAACGCCTCTCAAACGCGCACTGGCTAGGACCGTGTCTTTATTCTGTGGCCCAGCTTTTCTTATTATTGATGGGCTAATTAATGTATTAATTATATATCTTCTGTAATCAGTGGCAAATAATGCAATTTCATTGGTTACAGCCAATTAAAAACATTCTATGACTCTAGTATTTACAACTAGCCAATCAGCATTCAGGATATAAAACATGAATTTTGTTTTCTTTACAGAAGATATATACGAATGAAGTCATTATATTAATGTAAAAGTCATACGTATGATTAACAAATCACTTATATGATTTTGGCATTAATAGAACTCCTGTTCGTTCTATTACCGTTATTAATTTCCAATATTAATAATTAAGGAAAGAATGAATTTATCAACTTCGTTCACAGGGCTTCAGTGTGAGGACGAGGCGAGACACGAGGAAGCCCTGGTCTGGGCCGGTCAATTTTGCATTCTGATTGGCTAACACCATATTGTCTAAAAATAACTGAACTTGACAGTTGACAATAACAATTCAACATTTGTATTATTATGATTCTTGTGTGTACGAGTATGTTTTGCAAAATAATCTTTCAAAGTAAGACATTTTCTTTCAGATAATTTTCTTTCGCCTCGGCCGGTTACAAAACTCAAAAGCTGTGTCGAAGTGAGCTGTGATGTTTCCTGACAAAACAAGAAACGTTTACTATTATTTAAGCTGTAGTTTTCCTTGTACAGTATTTATTAGTGCAGATGTCTGATGAATTACTACGCGTATTGCATTGTAGTAATATTTTAATTTACAATATTCTGTACTGACAAATAAAAGCAAGACAAACAATTAAATGAAGCTACTAAATTAATTTAGGCCCTGTTTATTTAATAGCTCTACGCCTAGGCTGATATAGTCTCTACAAGATTCGCACGCCACCCAGTTTTTCAGTTCAAGAATACCTCGAATACTAGAAAATTGCGACTATACGATAAAAAAACCCCAAAGATTGTGAAGGGGATAAAATTTGTAGGCAAGCATTGCTCCTGAACGGAAAATGTTGGTGTCCGACGAAACAAGCGAATCCGTATATTCCTGTACAGCGTAAACAGGTTACGCGAGGTTTATATTTGTGTTTATTTATATTAAACTAAGTCAGATCTATAAGAGCATATTTAAACTAAATATTAATTATAGCAATAGCCATATTGTTCAAGATGAGAGAAAGGAAATTTCGTGTGAATCACAACTTGCATGGAGACGCCTAGATGCAGCTTGGATGCAGCTTTGCCTGTAGTTGAAAATCTCCAGAAATATCGGTCTATCATAGAAAACATAGACGGGATCTTCATAGATTTTTTTTTTTTTTAACAATTTTATTGAGAATTCTACAACGTTTTAAACACAACAGTTCTATGTAGAAATAAGTAGAATACTCAAATGGACAATATCAAGCACGAACGAGACATAAAGTCCCATGCAAGGTGCTTACCATTCTAAAACTATACAAAACAATAAAATAGAACAAAATACAATACAAAACAGCACAAACATGAAACACAGTTATTAGCCGTTTTCACATCAGAAGACGGACAAGTCGTCCAGACGAACAAACCGTCCCAAAATCGTCTTTTAGTCGGACAATCATCAGATGTGAAAACGTGTCGGACAAAATTTTAGACGAACAAGTCGTCTGAATTGTTCGACTACTTGTCCGTCTGTGAAGACGATTCTTGAGAGACGATCCGTTCGCCCAGACGACCCGTCCGCCTCTAATGTGAATAGGGCTATTTACTTAGTTCTATGACATGGACAGTCACGCACTAATGACCATGTACATGGCATTTCTATGTCGAACATTGTTCCGAGCAAGTGTTCATATGTGCTTCTAATGTTTCTTTTAAACGAGGAGAGGGTGGCGAAGGTGGTAGGAGGTAGAATTTTACAGGTATAGTTCCATATTTTAACTAGTCGGTTGAAATAGGATGCTTTGAATGTGTTGGATTTACAGAGGGGGACTTTAAGGGTGAGGGAGGGATTTTGACAGAGTCGGGTCCGATTGTTGTTGGAAAAGGAGACAAAGGTGTTAACGTCCAAATCTGTGTTGCCAAAGAGAGCCTTGAAGAAGAATACCAGATCAGAAATCTCTCTTTCATAGCAGAGGGGTAGCAGGCTGAGATTCATTAGCCGTTGTTGGTATGTCATTTCGCCATGCTTGGATTGTAGTATCCACGCGGTGGCTCTTCTTTGGACGCTTTCGACTCTAGACTTGAGTTTGACAGTGTGTGGAGACCAGACTTCACTAGCGTAACATAGCTGAGATCTAACAAGCGAGAGATACAGAGTTCGTCGTACTGTTTTGTCTCTCAAAAGAGGGCAAGTTCGTTTAAGCAGCCCGAGCATCTTGTTGGCCTTACCCGTGATTGTGTGGATGTGAACATCCCAATTGAAGTTGGCACTGACGCAAACACCAAGGTCTTTCTCTTTATCCACACGCAAGAGTTCCTTTGAATTCATGTGGTAGACATGCACGAGGGGAGTCTTTTTTCGTGTGATGGTCAGCACCTTACATTTCGACTGGTTGAAATCTAGGTTGTTATCATGACTCCAACATTCAAGGCTGGTCAAGGCGTGTTGCAGAATTTGACAGTCATCTTCCGATTTAATTGATTTGTACACTTTGGTGTCATCTGCATACAATGCTGCCGAGGTCTCGTCTGGTAGTACATTTGGAAGATCGTTTATAAAGATCGCAAACAGAACAGGTCCTAGGATACTTCCTTGTGGCACACCAGATGTTACAGGTGCCCAGGAAGATGCAACTCCATCTACCACAACTCGTTGACAACGACCGCTCAGATAGTCTTCGAACCATGCATACAACTGTCCTGATACGCCATACTGTTTAAGTTTGTGGAGAAGAATATTGTGGTCAACAGTGTCAAATGCCTTTGCAAAATCTAGGTAAACGATGTCTGTTTGGGTGTTCTTGTCGAGAGATTGTCCGATAGTATGAAGAACAGATAGGAGCTGAGTGACACATGAACGTTGTCTGAGGAAACCATGTTGAAATTTGGTGATGAGATGTTTGACATGATCGTAAAGTCTGAAACACACGCCACGTTCTAGAACTTTTCCAAGGATGGGGAGCAAAGAAATAGGTCTATAATTTTCGGCTGGTTCTTTACGATCTTTCTTGTGGATAGGCGTAACATTGGCAGATTTCCATTCAGAAGGGATCTGACCGGTGTGCAGCGAATGATTGAATAGTTCACAAATGCTGGGTGCAATTTGGATGCTGCATTCTTGCAGAAGACGAGTTGGAATGCCGTCGGGGCCACACGCTTTGGATGTGTCAAGATTGTACAAACTTCGCGCAACTTCTTCCGCATTGAGTGTTATATTGGAAAGCTCCTCAATTTCTAATGGTTGAAGCAGATCACAGATACCTGATTTTGAACCTGTGGAAGGTGAACGAAATACGGAAGAGAAGTACGCGTTGAAAAGTGTAGCTTTATCTTTTGCAGATTTAGCAGTAACTCCGTCGAACGTTATTTCGTGATGCAGATTTGCTCGGTGGCGTAGGATAGCTTTATGGTAGCTCCAGAACAGCTTTGGATTGACAGAAAAGGAACTTTCAATTTTAGCCAGATATTCTTGGTGTTTCCGTCTAATGAGACGCTTAGTTTGTTGAGTAAGGGATCGCAGCTTTCGCTTCCGAGTTGCAGATCTATTCATTCGGTAGTTTTTTAATGCACGGTATTTCTTGCGGATAAGAATCCGGACTTCTTTATCAATCCAAGGGGGGGAGTTGGTGTCCTTAACAGTTCTTACTGGAATATACTTTTTCACGGCAGTTAAGAACGTTTCCTTCCATTGTTCCCAGTAGTTATCAATATCATCGGTGGGAGTAATATTAATGGGATTTCTCGTGAGGAAATTGCGCAACTCATCAAATTTACCGTTCCTGTAGTCAAAATATCGGCGTTTAACTGGCTTGGCTCTTTTAAACTTCAGTTGAACATCAATTTCCACGACGTAATGATCTGTTGGGAAACATTCAGGAAGGAATGCAGAAACGTCACCGATGATTTCTGGAGAATTACATAGCAAAAGGTCGAGTTTATTACCAGCGATGTGGGTGGGACCAGATATAAACTGTTGAAGGAAGTTGTCGTCCACCATTTCGCAAAATGCTTCATTCTCATTGGACCCTCCGGTATTCACAGGAACATTTTCATAACTCGACCATTTAACAGATGGTAGGTTAAAGTCTCCGATCATCACAATACGACTCGATTCTTGGTTTCTTTGGAGTGAGTTGTTCAGTGACTGAAGGACATCAGGCGTAGAGTCAGGAGGGCGATAGAAAGTGTAAAGGATGACAGGTTTACTGTTCGATTTAAAAAGTTCAGTAACAATAAGCTCCGTGTTGTCAGTTTCCAGATCGTGTCGACGTGTGACTTGTATTCCTGACTTAATAGCAACGAGAACACCACCACCAATTCTGCCAGTTCTATCACGCCGGAAGACAGTTCCATAATTAGGTATAATTTCGCTGCTTAAAACTGAGTTGTTTAACCACGTCTCGCAAACACATACGACGTCATAATTTCCACTGTATACTAAATCTTGAAATAACGAAATTTTGCAAACTTTCGGGGAGGTATTCCCCGGTGGATGAACAAATGCTTTCAGGCTTCTTGCATTTAAATACAGTATCTTGAAACCGTCCCTTGATTGTGAGTCAGATGTTGGGCCTGGGTTGGTTGCTACATCACCAGCATGCAGGATACATAAAAGAAGATGCAAATTCTTGTGTTTTACCTGAAGTTCCAAGCCGTACTGGTGCTTACAAGGATAGTTAGATTTCCGTAAAATGTTGTCTCGCGTTGATATCCAAAGAAAACAAAGTCTATCAGGTATTCTTGCAAGTTCAGAAGCAATGGAAATGTTCGTAGACGTTGATCTATCTTCGAAGCGCACAAGTTCGGGTTTTGATCTTTTAGCCAACCAAAGGATTATGAAAAACATGAACATCCACATAATAACTCCAATGAACCGCCGCCACTTGAGTTTACGTTTGAAAACAACCATTTCACCGTAATTTAAACGTGATAAAATTAATTGAGATTTTTCTAATTGCCGGCCGTTATTGCGCGAGCAATGACGCGTGTTCGTTTGCTTGCGTGAGACAAAACTTGCGACTCCAACTGTTTCAATTAACTTGAATTCAGATGCAAAAACCACGATATTTAATTTGACGCTTTTTCCTTGATTTAAATAACCAAAATCGTACGCAACTTGATAATACCCAAGACAGTATCTTTAGCCACTACTTTCCAATGAAGTCGAGTTTTAACGTTTAGTTTTAATGCAAAATTTTAAACAATTTTACGGAGCGCCGAGCGTGCGTGTGCACGCGCACGCACGATCACGAATATCCAATTATCACGAATATCACGAATATCCATTTTAGCTGATTCGTGCCAAACTTCGATCTACACATAAATAATATCGATTGAGAAGTCTTTTGGCTATTTATTTGTTTCGAAGACTTGAGTATTTCATTAAAGAATATCTCGCCATTCCTTGACGAGTAGCTGTCAAATACTGCCATTTTTTGTCGCCACGTGACCGGCCCAGACCAGGGCTTCCTCGTTTCTCGCCTCGTCCTCACACTGAAGCCCTGGGAACGAGGTTGTGAATTTATTTATGAATGGGAGACTTACTTTTTTGGACTTCATTCCAGACTCCTTGACATGCTTAGGGACCGGTCATTATTTATGGCGGGGGGTGGCACCGAAGAGAAATGTTTTTCGTAGCAAAAATTTTGCTGACCCAACCATTAAAAAGTAAACAAAATTGATTACCCAACCTCAAATATCAATTAAAAAATAAATACCCACCCCTGGCCAAAAAATTTACAAAAGTTACTATTCAGTTGTCACATATGTCCTTTACCACTTCTGTGACATAAGTTTGATAATGGATTGTGAAATTTTCTGCAGTCTGAAGTTTCATGTTGTCTGCACATGTAGCTACTTTCTTTGGAGATCCCATCGGAAATTGATCAAGATAATGACTCTGATTGATATATACTTTTCGTTGTTTCTTTACACATTTAGTAAATCTTAGTATAACACCAAGTTCATCAATTGCTGCTATTTTGCTAGCAAATCCATGTATAATAAACCCGTGTGTTTTGCAATCAAAAGTGATGCAACCTGGATAGTGGAATAAGTTGATTACTGTAGGCACAATTTTTGGCCACTTAATAGTCAGTTTGGCCACTTTTGGCCAGTCTTTAATATTACCGCCTTACGGAGACTTTATATTAATTGTGCTACTCGAGGATCTAGAAGGTCCTAGAAGAACCATAGGTCCCATACTCGATCGACTAGCAACATAATCAAGTTAGTTATGTTAATTCATTATATATAGGATCAATGTTAAAGGCAAGGTGGGCTATAAGCTATAATCATTTGTATGGCTTATAGAAGGCTAATTGCCGTGAATAAATTGAATAATGAATGTAGCACAATATTAAATAGTTGCATGATGACGTCAAAGAAACTAGTCAGACTACATTTGCAAGTTTTGCAACTCTCATCGCTTAAATTCCCCATACCTGAATACAAAATAAACAGTAAACAACGATTACCTTTTACATACCATATATAAAACGGAGTTTTCATCCTTCCTAGAAACTCACTTCCTGAACTTTTGAGCGCAAATGTAATGTATTAAAAATGTATATCATATTCACAGCAGTTAATACCATTAATATATCGCGGGCGCAATACAAGACAAAACACGAGAATTTTAAAATGTTTTGATTTGCAAATAAATAAATAATATTTGATGTCATAAAAATTTTTAAATTTAACTCAACACAAACTGGTAAGTTCATGACATGTATAATTTACTTATATGTTGTTATATTGCAATTCTGTTCCCTACTCCTTTGAAAATTGTTTGCAATTGCATATGATGTGAACATGTGGTCATGTATTATAGTTGTGTCATGGATTTAATAATACCCCAATGGCTTCGAAATAGACAATGGATGGAAAAAGTCATGAATATTGAACTTATTTACCCTTTAAACACTTGATTGTCATGCGCATACAGTGTATTGTTTGTTTCCAGAACCCCGGCCCTCAAGCAGACTTCAACTTTTTTTGCTAAATTGTATATTTTGCTTCATACACTGCATGTGTGTGTGTTTGTGGGAACACTCATGTTTGGATGCTTGGCGTAGGTTTACTTTCTTACATTGCCCTATATCGCTCAAACTCGCATTGCTTAAATTGCAGATTTTGCTTAAATCACCTAAATTTGCTTAATTAAACTTGCATTATCTCGTCATCGCCCCAGAGTAGGGCCTACTGTTGCCATTGCTTTTTAGTCCCCAATACTTCAGTGAGTCATGCTTTGGAAATGACAATAATTTTTTATTACCCAACCCTTGAGTTGTTTTGTTTTTCATTTACCCAACCTTTTACTTACTCAAAATTTAGTTTACCCAACCCTTTTCTCTTCGGTGCCACCCCCCACCATAAATAATGACCGGTCCCTTATGGGGAATTTGCTGACTTACTATACCCTTGCAAAATTTGAGATAATTTATAGAAGACACCAAGATTCTTTCAATGAGTGTGATGTAGTTATTTCTTTGCATTATGTGTTCAATAACTGAAGGAGTAACTTTGGAGTTATCCAGGTTCTTCAAATCTCAAATTGCTGTGGTGTCTTGGAGATGATTACCAGAAACTCGGTTTGATACTCTGTTATGATTCACCCCAGTGGATGTCCCTATTCTGATTAATTTCTGTCATTGTGCGTACTTTCTGAAACATGTCATATTTACAACCAACAGAAAGATGCTCGTTAGTAGAATGAAGATCAGCATCTGCAGTTTGAGGAATATCAACTTGACATGAAGTCAAAGCAAGAGACACATAATTGTCTGGAGGATCGAGTTGCTGTATTATGAGCTGGAAAAGAATAGTTTAGTTTGGTTTGTTGCCACTTGCGATTATTGTATAGGTGTGTTGAACTAGCTATCCGGTATATAATTTGTTCTGTCACAGCAAGCTGGGTAGTTTATTGTAGATAATATAAATGTTAAAGGTAACAGCATGTAGTACAACAATCTTAATTAATTAACAAATTGAACTAAATGATAACTACGCGCACCAAAAACATGTGACCATTATGAGAAACCGGTTTGAAAACTCAGAAAGAAAGAAATTTGCAATCAGTTGATGTTGATGTTGTCTTATTAGAATCAGCACCTTTTTGTTCCAAAATTGACATTAAGCTCTCATCAGAAGCCTTCTCGTGAACAAGATTTTCACTGAAAATACTGCCAAATTCGTCGCTTTTTTGTTATAGTAAGAAGCAGATACACCAATCCTCATTGTTGAGAAAAGTCCACACAATGTCCAAAAAACAATAAAGATGTAATCTTAAACATACATTGGAGTGGAAGTAATTTGAGCCTTTGGAAACAACTGCTAATTTGATGCTCCTAAACTTTGTGTGAGGTTGGGAGCATCAAAGTAACGGCAATTTTAAGTAATTGTCTGATATCTACAGCCAGAGTTGCCCAGAGCTTTTTGAGGGCACGGGGGAAATACCCTATTGGGAGTTTTTGGGGCCCCTTCCACTCCATAAAATTTACTTTTAGGGCCCCTCTTGAAGGAGCAGTGCCACATGGTGCGTATATTTTCTGCGCATAACAACCAAATTTCGGAAATTATTCGGTGCCTAAAATACTCCCTTCGTGATCCTCTACGGCAAACTCAATGGTACGAAACTATGTATTTTTTGCATATAATTTGTGAAGCCGCTTCGAGAATCTGTCATATTGAATTGGAAAATTTGCACAAGATTGTGTGGGTGACATTGCTCCTTTAAATTAAGCATGGGGCCCGGGGCAAATTGCCCCCACCCCCCCTGCCCTCCCTCCCTCTATATGGGCAGCCCTGTCCATATCTACACTTGGAACAAACAGAACAATACATTTGGAGCTTGTAATGAAAAACTTGAAAGAGGTAGGAACCAGGTTGGAAATACATTTATTTAATTAAGGTTATAATTTTGAATTTAGCAATCAGAACCTAGCCGAGTTGTTGATGTAGAGAAAATTGGTCTGTTAGTTAACATGTATGATATGATTCAATTATACATTGCCAAGACCTAACATATCTTTCTTTTGTAGTTCTGACACAACTATTATGGACTGTTTATAAGTAAATACTTAACAACTGTCCACAGAATATTTACTAACATGTACTAACAGAATATTTACTATCTAACAGAATATTTACTAACAAGTATATGTAGCTCTTGGCTATCAGGTTATATGCATGTTGTTAAACACACTAAACATACCTGAAATCCGGAGAACTTTATTATTGTCATGAAGCTAAACACTGTTGACCATTCGACATCTTTGTTTTAAAAGAACAGCTGCAGCTATAGCAGCGCTTGGCAACCATTCAGTGGCATCATATTTCTTTCTATTAGGAGTGGTGGCAGTAGTCATCATGACTGAATACAATAGTGGAGCACGCTCCTTCATTTCGTGGAATATATTGGCTAGTGACAGCTTACGAATATCACTCGCAGTAGTTTTTCTCAGTAAGGATGGCCTTTTAGATGAAACAATATCACAGCATTCTACTGACAGTTGCTTCAACATGCATTTGATGAGCTCTGATCTAATCTCTTTAACACGGTATACAGCTGACGCTGATTTCCTTCCATGTCCCTCTAAGGAGGGCACGGCGTAAGGGTTCCAGTTTAGGTTGAATTGTACGTTCTTTGGTCTGAGTAGACCATTTCACAGTAAGCTATAAAGTTTTAAAAAAAAGATATGAATGTATATTTTTCTGAGGGAAGCCCTTTATATTATAAATAATAAATTCGAGGCATTGTTTAACACCGAGTCCTTTCCGTTGATGATGAACCTATTTCTAGGTACTGAATTATTTAAACATAATATGCAAATGTCTTCTATTTGGATACCATTTACATATCCGGCCATCTTGAATTTCGAAATCGATTTGCATGTGTTGGCATAATTTATATCAAATTATAGAATAAACCAATCATAACGCTCGACCAAAATCCGGTCGCGCCAACGTCATCAGCATGGAATGTTGTCACTCGAATCGCAGACTCTTCTTTGTGCGACGTTATATTAATAGGAGCAGCAAAGTAGAGGCTGTTTTCGCAGGCTACAAAGGGCTATAGTAATTGTTTTTCAAGAAGATATTGCTTGAATTATGGCTTCTAACATTATATCGGAGAAAAAAGTATTTCAGACTTTTCGTAATGATGATGTCGCTTGTAATGTGACGCGAAATGTTACACAATAAATATTTTTTATATACCAAATGTTTTTTGAATATGCTTCTTTTACGAGTTATTTACTGGGCAATAATATTTTTAACTAGAATTTCAGACTTTATTTCTACTATGTTTCTGCTAAACTTCAGTTCTGTCCAGAACTATTGCCCAAGTTTGAGCTCCGATATACTTTTGGACTAAGCATTTCAGATCGAAGACTATGTGACGTCTAGAAAATCGGTTTACCTTAATGACGGTGTTCAAACACAATAATACAGTACAATACGAAATGTTACTCAATAAATATTTTTTATTTACCAAATGTTTTTTGAATATGCTTCTTTTACGAGTTATTTCCCTTACGAAAATTTGCTATAGGAATTCCTATAGGAAATCAAAATTCCTATAGGAATTCCTACAGGAATTGAAAATTCCTATAGGAATTCCTATAGGAATTTAAAATTCCTATAGGAATTCCTATAGGAATTGAAAATGGTCAAAAAAATTCCTATAGGAATTCCTATAGGAATTGAAATTTCCTATAGGAATTCCTATAGGCATTGAAAATTCCTATAGGAATTCCTATAGGAATTAAAATTTCCTATAGGAATTGAAATTTCCTATAGGAATTCCTATTGGCATTGAAAATTCCTATAGGAATTGAAAATGGTGAAAAAATTCCTATAGGAAAAAATATTCCTGTAGGAATTCCTATAGGATTGGAAAATGGGTATAGGAATTCCTATAGGAAATGAAAATTCCTATAGGATTTGAAAATGGTGAAAAAAAATCCTATAGGAAATAAAAATTCCTATAGGAATTCTTATAGGATTGGAAAATGGTGGGAAAAATTCATAGCCTATACCACTATGGCCCGATACATGCATGGGTATAAGAACTTTACTTATATAAAAGTTATACAGATAAATATAATTTACGAGATAACTCCTTCCTACAGGAATTTCTATTTCTTATAGGAATTTTTTCACCATTATCATATCCTATAAGAATTCGTATAGGAATTTTAATTTCTTATACAACTACACTATTCCTATATCATATTTTACTCATAGACATTTATTAATAGAGAATTTAATACTGGGACTATTTATTTTCTAAGATTAAATGAATAATTACCGCAATGTGCGCGACTGACAGACTGGTGTCTAGTTTTCTTGCCACGCGCGCAAAGCATCAAGGGATAGATCATCACACCTCCGATATTTTTCAAGTCGGTGTTTGTCAATGGTTTATGTGCAAAATAGAACTATTTTTGATGGGATTCAACTGGATTTTCACTAGTAATACATCAGGGATGTTTGCATAATGTTCAGGTAAGAATAAGTTTATATTTTATTTATAATAAAGCAAATTATAGAGGAAATACCTCCAATCTTCATTTGTGAAATTCGAGCATATGGTTCGATAAAATTTGAATTTGCCGCGACAATATAAACGGAATTAGAATGCTGATATAAATATATTTATAGCATTTATACTTCAACAAATGCTACTATAAAAGTCTTATATTTGAATCAGACTTATCCATGTTTATTAATATATTTGTGTATCCCAAGTGCCAACTGTATATGCCAGATTAATTAGAAAATTAAACGAGACTTACCTGTAAGGTGAAGTTTGATTGAGATTCTACGAGTTATTGGTTAGGAGCGAAGGAGTCACGTGTGAGATAGCGCGGGAAGGATCGAGCGGCAGTCTTTAAAGGGAGTGCGAATGGTCATTGATATTTAGTACCCGCTGTAAAGCCGTAGGGCTGGGTAAAACCGTAGGGTGGGTCCGTGACTCCTTCGCTCCTAACCAATAACTCGTAGAATCTCAATCAAACTTCACCTTACAGGTAAGTCTCGTTTAATTTTCTAATTCTACTTCGTCATTGGTTAGTTCGCTACGGAGTCACGTGTGAGACTTTAAAGTAATGACCATGAGCACTGTAACTTTGCTTTAATAACACAATATCAACACGATACATGCTTAATCAAGGTTAACAATTTCTAAGAGTCTATGACCAAAATTTTCTTTTTGATCACTTTCAATTGGTTTATGATGAAACTGGTTTATGTGGTTTCTGGTAACTCAAAAGTAGTTGTTTATATGAAAGGACCACATGTCATCACTATTAACCATCTGCTCAATGTTCAAGACCTGTATGGTCTGGCAACGCTGTCCAGTAACAAGGGCAAGCAGCATGGTTGTCTTCATAGTCAGATCTTGTAGAGAGAGTTGTGTATTTTCACCCAAAGATTTGAGATATTTTATAACCACAGACACATCCCAGATCTGTTTATAACGTGGTAGTGCTGGTCTATTTACAAATACTCCTTGTATATATCTGGTTACCAGTGGATGGTTTCCAAATGTGAAATTGTCTATTGGTTGGACAACGCTGGATAGAGCTGAGCGTACCGTGTTTAATGTGCTATAGGATAATCCTTCCTTATAAAATTCATGTAGAAAATCAATTGCAGTCCCTACATTTGGAGAAATGGGATTGATACTTCGTTCACAACAGTGCTGTTCCCACTTTTGTAAATAGTATTTGTACTGTTTTTGAGTCCCCGGTCTCCATGCTTGTACGATGATTGAAGCAGCTTCTTTTGAAATTCCTTGACTTTCAAATAATCCCCCGATAAGTGGCACATCAGTAATCGCAACTTCTTTTGTAGAGGATGTATCTTCTGAGGATGGGATGGTAACATCAGTGTTGTTGTGTGCTAGGCAACATAAGGGGACAATTTATTAACATATTGGTTAGATATGGCCACCAGGACTGGGTCGGCCAGTGTGGAATTACTATTATGCCTGTTGCCTTCTCTTCTGATATTTTTTGTAATACTTGGTTGATAATGCAAAAAGGTGGGAATGCATAAAAACACATGTTTACCCAAGAGATATGAAAGGCATTTATGGCTTGAGCCTCGGGGTCAGGTCTGAATGCAACATAAGGCTTGCATTTATAGTTTAGCCTTGAGGCAAACAGATCAATACTGGGTGTCACATCCAGTAATTGGATTGCTTGATCATACACTGCTTGGTCTAGGTCCCACTTAGTATCATTGGTACCCCTCCTCGATTCAAAATCTGCAATGACATTTTGTTTTCCTGGGATATGTGCTACAGTAATCCAATTGTTATTCGTAATGAAAAATCCCATATCTCTTTTACTAAGAGATTTTTCTCCTTGGAGTGACTAGTCCCCATATGATTTATACAGCAGACTGCTGTTGTGTTGTCCGATAGGATTTTTACATGCTTCTGACAAATATGATCTACAAATGATTTTAGACTGAGTAATATGGCTTTAACTTCCAGCCATTTAATGTGTTTCTTGATTCTCCAGAGTGCCATGAGCCACCGGTAGGTGTGCCAGCTAGGGAGCAACCCCAACCCGTTTTTGAGGCATCTGTGGTCATGGTTGTGTCAGCTTGTCCGTGACTAACCACATTGTATGCACTTTCAATTGAGCTTACCCACCAGCTCAGCTCGTGCTTAGCCTCATCTGAAAGAGTCATGGTCTTATTATAATTGCCTTTTCTTATTTTCAGGGCCACAGTTTTATCCATATCTAAGTGCCTATAATGTAATGGCCCAAACATTACTCCTGGGAAGCTAGCTGTTAACATGCCAATGACTCCAGCCACTTCCCGTATTGTAGGTTGAGGAGATTGTAGAAGCTTTTGACAAGCTTCCTTAATTTTTTGTGTTTTTTCTCCTGTAAGGCTGATAATCATTTTTATGGAGTCTAACAGAAAACCTAGGAATACAAGTTTCTGAGTAGGGTATAGGATTGATTTCTCAGGGTGTATAACAAGGCCCACTTGGTCAAGTAATGTAATAGTATCTTTCACATTTTTAACACACAGATTAAAGTTGGCACCTTGTAAATAAGAGTCATCTATGAATATTACAGATAGATGACCTATGCTTCTCAAGTTTGAGAAGACAGGTTTAAGGAGTTTTGTGAACTTCCTAGGGCAAATTGCCAATCCATTTTGGAAAACATGTATACTGATATAGTTTCCCTCGCCATTGAAATTTCCTGTGTTTTTGATGGTCTTTGTGAATCGGGACAGAGCAGTATGCGTCCTTAAGATCAATGGATGTCATAAAGCATCCCAGACGCATCATACGTATAGCAGTCCAGATTGTGTCCATTTTTAAAATGTTGGTACGTAACAGATTGGTTTAAACATTTTAGGTTTAAAATCATGCGATGTGATCCATCCTTCTTAGGTCGAAGGAATATGGGTGAAATGTATTCATTAGGCTCATGTGTAGATTCTACAATGACACCTTTTTTCAACAAGTTTTGGATTTCAGAATCAATAAACTGTCCTTGTTGACATGAGTAATTTGGCTATACAGGTAAATTTAATTGTACTGGGTTCTGGTTAAACTCTATGCGTTGACCAGACACTGTCTCCAGAATTTCTGGATCAGATGTCAATTCTTTCCAAGCAAAATAAGAAGTACTAAGCTGGCCCGCCTTAAAATTGGCAACCTTGTGTTCAAAGTGTTTAATAAGCTTACCTGTATTTGTGAAAGTTGTTTAATTGATTCTGAGTCTATTTCTTCATTGGCCCGAAACGAGCTCGGTTCTGACCACGCCTGTTGTTGTTCTCCAGTCGTCTGTACGACTGGGCTCCTCGCCACAAAAAAGGAGGCTGTTTGTTGCCATAATTGCTCGTACTTGGCTTATAAATCCGGTGTTGACTCGGCGCGTGTGATGATGGATTTGTTGTATTTCCAATTTTGTTTGTTGCCCGAATACGGGTCAATTCTGTCTGGAGGTCGTCTCCAAACAGTAAGCTTGTCACAGGAACTTCTTGTGAGCATAACTCAATATAATCCCTGTGAAGGTGAGGTCTGATGATTTCGCGCCTTTTTTGGGCTAGCTCATGGCTAGCATGACTAACCAGAGCAACAGCATCTGTGTTCATTCGCACTAGGTCATCAATTTTTAGACTTTTTGGGTCAGATTTTGCTTTCAACAGCATATCTGTAGCTTGCACTACAAGGTTAGTGACTGTGCTAAGCTGGGTTTGTACACGAAAGAGCTTGTGATCCTCGCCACGAACAGCCCTTGTTAATTTTGCCCATATTTCAGGGTTTACGCGTGGGCTCACAACTTTGTCGCAGTTCGCTGGTCGCGGGTATTTTTCGGCCTTTTCTTTTAGCTTGTCGTCACTTAATTTATGATTCCAGCGTTTGTTAGCAATCAGTGCGAGTTTATCTGAGACGGGGTCGCCCGTTCGCTCAGTTTCGTCAAGTGACTGCGCTATTTCGTCCAGCAAGGGATCGTCTACGTCCGCCATGTTGGCGGTTTGTTGTTCGTCCTCGTTCGAATTGTTCTCATCATTAGGTTGCCATTGGCATTGTGATGTCGTCCCTGCTCCGCGTCTCCCAGCAATGCTTCACTGTACATGTCCGATTCGTTGTCTGATACAGACTCAGACAGTGAGCGAATTTTAGCTTTTTTGGCAGATACTGCCGTGTTTGTGCTTGGTTGATCAGAGACAAAGCTCTCATGTTTTCGTTTATTTAGCGATACGCCTAGTGCACAAATATTATCATTCATTTTGGATAACAATTCCATAAATCGTTCGTTCGTAGACAGGTCCTCGTCACTCTGATGTTGTTCTTCTTCTATAAGTAGTTCTTTCTCCATATCCGAAGTGTCTTCTGCCATTTTTATTCAATTTTTAAGCGGAAATTTTTTGTTGTTGACGTTCGCTCGAAGAATCCTTTGCAACTGCCGCTCGATCCTTCCCGCGCTATCTCACACGTGATTCCGTAGCGAACTAACCAATGACGAAGTAGAATTGTAAATTGTCAGCCATATTTAATGCATGCCTATAGAAAATTTAACTACTTGCTCAAATCAGCAGCAGTATTTATTCATATGTTTTGTTTAAATTAAACAATTTTCATTTTGAGAGGTCTTGCACCAGTCAATGTATTAAAATCTGTTAGCCTTTAGACATGCTTTAGTGTAATGCCAGGAAAATTATCCATGTTTTTCTATTAATTAAACCACAGTTTATAAACATAACTATATGTGATGGTATTCAAATTAACCAGACTCTCTGCTAGCTTATGTTTCATGCTAACTTGTTAAGATGAATGTGCTCAACTTTCAGTACTTTTTTATTTTACCTTGTCTAACACCAGATCATTTTACTTGAAAGAGAGTGGACAACTTTGATAGGTTACCTTGCTGTCTCCCTGTGTTTTGTGTAAACTCATTAAGACCCAATTCACACTAATGCGCTCTATTTCAAAGCTCAATATTTTGCCCTGTTAATACCAGACTATTTTGCATTATTTGGCGTTAGCACATTTAGATGCAATTCACCCTAACACTCAATCCCCACTTTCAGTACTTTGATATTTATCAGACGATTTTACTCATCAAAATGAATGTTGGTCATTGAAAGGTTAATAATTAACTGCAAAAGCTGCTGTGTGGCATATTTAGAAGCAATGTGCCCTACTTTTAGTACTTTGTTATTTTACTGTGTTTATTCTATTAAAGTGCTAGACTCTCCACTTAGAGTAAAATAATAAATTGGGTGCATTTGGGCATATTTAATGGGTTAACAAAACACATTGGAATGGTAGACATAAAATAAATGTATTTGTCTTTTTACAGCTATCAACAAAGTATGGATGTAAGGCCTCAGAGGTTCGTCAACATATGAGGACAAATATAAACAACATGGGAAAGTGTTGCAAAGTACAGAAAAGCAAACAAGAACAAGAACTTATTTGAGGACTATGTTTTGAGGCCAGTTTTAAACTTAACTTTAAATGTCAATTATGGTTATTACCTATGGTTTAACCCATTAAGCGCCAGCGCTCTGACGAGTAAAATCGTCTGGCGTTAGACAGAGTAAACTATAGTAAAATAATAAAGTAGGCGCATCAGGGCACAATGCAGGGTCTTAGCTAGAGGGCCGTGTTGGCCGTGTTATCGCAGCCAAAAATAGAAAAACACGGCTAGATAAAATGAACGCGGCTTAATTAATTAAATAAGGCCGTGTAGGTTCATAAAATAAGGTGTTACTGCTTACAACAGACAGCATTTCTTCCCATTTTCGTTGTAAGAAAGTTTCTAAAATCTACTGTAATTGATGAAATTGGAAAAAGTGATCTGTGATGTTTTAATGTTTTGATGGATAATGGGAACCATATGGTATTATATAAAATGGTTTTAAATACCCCCAAGAGTTGCTGAAAAAACTTAATATTTTAATGTCAGTACGCAATGTGAGCGTAGCCTTGTATTTGGTTGCAAAGCCTACAACAACCACAGGCATTGTCTGTTGTTGGCGAGCATAACTAGAAATACGCACACCCAGGTCATTTAGAAACACGCCCAAGATCTAAAATCCTAGCTAAGACCGTGGCGCAATGTGATTCAATGGGTTAACTAGACACATATATAGGAATATAGGCTAGTTAACCCATTCGGAGCCAGCATTTCCCCTTGACATTCAAGTACAATTGTCTGGAGTTAGACAGAGTAAAATAGTCTGGCATTAGACAAAGTAAAATAGTTAGACAGAGTAAAATAATAAAGTAGGATGCATCATATGGCATTGCATTGAGGTAGAACGATTAATTTGTCACAATAGGTGAAAACTATAATTGATTTGTAATGTTTAGTATAACCAATTTCTCATATTAATTTTTACATTTGCAATATTAATTAGTATTTATTAATTAATATTTATATCTATTTTTTGCATTAAAAAATTAAGAGTGATGAACAACATTGTCTGTCATTTACTATTATTTCATCTAGATTCTAGAATTTCTGCAGGAATACCAAAAATCTTATAGGAAATTAGAATAAATTATTTTCTTATAGGAAATTCCTATAATAATTTGGGGCTAGACTTGAGAGTTCTTATAGGAATTCTTCCTATTAAATTCTTATAGGAATTCCTGTAGAAAAAATTCCTATACGAATTTTTCCTATAGGAATTCCTATAGGAAAAATTCCTATAAGAATTTGGGACAAAATTCCTATAGGAATTTTTCCTATAGGAATTTTTCCTATAGAAATTCCTATAGGAATTCCTATAGGAAAAATTCCTATAGGAATTTTGTCCCAAATTCTTATAGGAATTTTTCCTATAGGAATTCCTATAGGAAATTTTCGTAAGGGTTACTGGGCAATAATATTTTTAACTAGAATTTCAAACTTTATTTCTACTATGTTTCTGCTAAACTTCAGTTCTGTCCAGAACTATTGCCCGAGTTTGAGCTCCGATATACTTTTGGACTAAGCATTTCAAATCGAAGACTATGTGACGTATAGAAAATCGGTTTACTTTAATGACGGTGTTCTAACACGCCCTGCTCCACATTGTTTTGAGATTCAGTTGGGAAGAAAGAAGACAAATTGTAATTTACATCATTCCAAATGACCTAATCCTAAAGAAAAGGTTGCTGGACATGTGTGGATGCAACATTTTCGTCCAATCGTCGTCCCATTGAGTCTGTCATGTCCTGGCATTTCCGCGGTGGTGGGAAAACGAACAAGAACATTATCCCGACCATATTTATGTATAAATTATCAAGCCCGACAGCAATGACACCACCTACTACATGAAAAGGTTCAGGAGAAAAGGGAACGTCAGTTTTATATTGCCAACGGAACTACGATTTGACAACACTTTTAATTAAAAACAGTGAAACAAATGCATTGAGGAGACTGTACAAGGAGAAAAACATAGGTTGAATAGATGACAAACACTAAAACAATTAATGATAATAACTCGAAGCATTTGCCTCAGCAATACCGGTTTCTTCTAAAGAGATTTTGAACAGTCAATCTATTCCCCCTGTTATAATATTATCATAGCTATCGTGTAGGCGGAGCGGACTGTTTAATTGTTTGTATGTAATTGTAAACCAATGTTTTTTCCATGTAATTCATTATCACTTGCCCGTTAAAGACTGTAGACTGGCAATCGAAAGCTCGTTTCAATAAATTTTTAAATAGCAGAGAACGTCCAAACTATTAATGGTAAAACAATTGATACGATTGTTTCAAAATCAATGTCAATTGATTTATTGATAGGTTACTGTATATAAAGATAATTAAATACAATATACAATACAAAACAAAACAGAACTTGAGAAGAAGCATAATAAAGAAAATACACTTCCTAGGTTTTATACTGGATTCAAGATATATTTTGATTTTCTGGGACCCAGCAGTCATGATGCTGCAGTTACTCCAGATTTAAGACTTCTAATAAAATGTTCTTTTCATCAAAGAGTCGTGTTCAGATCTATATTATTATCTATATTTACAGTCGATTTTGTTATAAATAAATGTTAAAAAACAACCAATGAGTCACAAAGAATGATAATTAAAACCTAAAAGTAATTGCAAATCGTAAGTTTGTTTAAAAAGATGTGTTTTCAATTCAGATTTAAAAATGTTGATGTTACTAATCGATCTAATGTTCATTGGGAGCATGTTCCAAATTCTCGGTGCTGCAACTGAAAAGGCCCTGTAGCCATATGTCTTTAAATTATAATGTTGTTCTGCAAAACGCCATTTGTCCGAGGACGATCGAAGACACCTTGCCGGCTGATGGTGGCATAAAAGTTCTTGCAAATATGTCGGAGCCATGTTCTTCATTATTTTAAAGCACATCAAGTTCATCTTAAAAATTATTCTTTGCTATACTGGCAACCAGTGAAGCATCCTGAGAGGTGGAGTTATATGATCGTATTTACGCAGAAAAGCTATAACTCGAGCTGCTGCATTCTGAACATTTTGCAGCTTATTTGATATTTGGGGAGACCATAGAACAACGAGTTACAAAAGTCAAGCTTTGAGCTGACGAAAGAGTGAATAAGAACTTCAGTAATGTGACCACTAATGTACCTTCTAATCTTAGCAACATTTCTAAGATGATAAAATGCTCATTTAACTACGTCGTTAAGGTAGTGTCAAATGTTACCCCTATATTGCGTGCTTTGCCTTTGGGATGAATAATTTCATTTCCAACAGCGATAGACGGCAACAAAGACATTGGTCTAAATTTGGAATGGAAAATTAGAAAGTCTGTTTTATCTGCATTTAATTTTAGTTTGTTACAAGTCATCCAGTGTTGATGTCAGCTAGACAGGATTCTAATCGAGAAATGACAGAATAAAGTTCCACATCATCATTACACGCAAACGTAGTGTATAGAGTTGATCGTCATCCGCATATAAGTGAAACGACTTATAATGCTTCCGGATTAAATCTCCTAATGGCGAAGTATATAATAAAAACGACAAGGGTCCCAGAACTTATCCCTGTGGTACTCCACAAGTAAGGGGACAGACTGACCTATCAGTTCCTTTATTCCAAACCGATTGAGTATGACCTGTGAGATATGAGCGAAACCATTCATATGCTTTACCTTTTATGCCAAATTCATATTGCAGTCTATGCAACAAGATTTTGTGATCTACAGTGTAGGAAGCTTATACACGGAAAGATATTTTTATTAAGAGAATATTTTTAACAAACAGTTATGGTAAAATAACAAACATTCAGATTTTTATTCTAAGATTGGAAGGTTTTAAATTTTAGTCTTGGATTAAGTCTAATCGTCCCTTGAACAAATCAGGTTGCTTGCGAACATGTTGCACCTTACAGAAAGGTTTCCTTCAAAGGAAACCGCATCTCAATATCCATTAAATTCATCTCCACTGCGAACTACCCTGGACTATTGTGGGTTCATGCTGAATCTACAATCATAAAGTTTAGCGTTGGGAAGATTTTCGTTCTAATTTATTGATATATAAGCTGGAACTGATATTTGTATCACTGACAAATAATACTTTTTTATTAATTAAAAATAAGTACAGTAGTCGAAAGACGTCCACCTTTCTTTTGACCACTGAGCCAGAATTATAAGCAATAACTCCTTTTCATCTCCCCGCAAACAATTCCTCTTTGGAAGATTAATTTTCCAACAGTCGACATTTCAACTTTCTCCACGTCACTTGTAAACTTTTCACAATCAGTTGCTGTAAGTCTACTGGAATTAAACCCGTTCGCAATTTAAACAAGACATTGTCCCAAGTAGTGTGTTAGAATTACACAAACTAACTTCGCCTGCTGTTCGGTAGCGTAGTACAGTAACTAATCCTTGTTGATGCGGACAAAATTGGTATTTTCCTATTGCTATTGTCACTTTTAATATTTTCCTTTCCAAGTTTCAGTTTCGTGAATTTTTGAGGACATTTCATTGCTGTAGAACGTCATTACAGCAGTTTGTTTTCAGGGACATGCTTAAAGAAATTCCCACAAAGTCATGTATTTGGAAAAGAGTGGTTGTAACATGTTTCCGGCAACTTGCAGCACAAGACTTACCTGTACAATATCATTTTGCATTTATGACCTTACAATTTGGTTGTGAGACATGAACAAAGACGCAGTAGAATTGTAGGATTGTACAAAACTCTTCACAATTAAGGAGCTTGGTGTTAAGAATTTGCAAATTGCGTTTGACTGGAAGAGTTTTTGCATGATTTTCTATAAACAAGAGATATCTAGGCCTCTTTTTGGCGGTGAACGCCTCCAGGACAGCAGTAGGGCATTGTCTTTGAATCCTCCACCAATTTTTTATAGTTATATGCGAATTGCATGGAAGGCAGGAAAAACGAGAAGAGATGGAGTCCAAGTAATCTTGTTCTTGGAAGAAGTTCCCTTAACAATTATTGCTTGGACAAATGTTTTCCAAACTAAATGGAAAGACATCTTGGATTTCAAACTGCTGCAAAGTTCTGTAAAGAAGTGGAGTTTGGCTGATACACCGCACATGGTTTCCCCCAAAGTAACGTTGGGCGCCTAATTTCTCCCAATATGCTGCAGAATTCAGATGCTACAATCCTGGCAAAAATTATCGTGGACACCGCGTGCGTGAAACAAAAATAGATGTATTTCTAAAGAATTAATCCCCCAGAAAATTTCTCCCCCTTCTACCCCCACTTCAATGTTGGTAAATGAAATTTTTAAAATTTAAATTTAAAATTTAAATAAAAATTTAAAGAAACAAATTAGAATAGGGGGCAAGGGGCGACAAATTTGATGTAAGAACGTCTCAATGTTAATATTGGCTTTAGAAAAGTTAGCTGGCCACATAATTTTCCCAGGATTGTCCGAAAATAACAAAAAATGTTATGTTTGCCATTGCTTTAGGATAACAAACAGATTGTTTAAACTGGTTTAATTGTTTTTAAAGCATATTTATAATTTTGTGGTGAGCGGGCTGTGGTCATGATATATGCTTTGCAGAACTAATTATGCAGACGCAGTAAGACGAGTTTTCAACACAAGTACTTTAAGTGCAGGACCGGATTCTAATAGACTATAGACTATATTTTAGCATATATGCATCCGAAGCGCTCACTATTTTCTGATTTTTTATTACAAACGCGACCCGAGCATGCATATTTCCCACCGTGGCCGGGCATATTTTTCAAGCTCGCCCGGTGTGGATATACATTCAAAGTAACATCATATATTTCATAATTTCCAGTCTTAAATCCATCTTACCGCGTAGCTCAGTTGGTAGAGCATCGATCTAGTAATTCGAAGGTCGCGGGTTCAACACCCAGGCGCGGCAGACAACATCTTTCTGCTTGCGCTGGGTATGGAAATTATATAATACACACTCTAGAACATTTTCATCTTAATATATATATATATATATATATATATATATATATATATATATATATATATATATATATATATATATATATATATATATAACTACAGACGGTACCGTTTCGGCCTTTTGGGCCTCATCAGTGTAGTGCTGATGAGCAGGATGAAATATATATATATATATATATATATATATATATATATATATATATATATATATATATATATATATATATATATATATATACCGGGTGTCCCAAAAAAAAGTACTCCGGTTTGATGTATAATACCTTCTAAACAATAAAGCTATCAAACAGAAATAACTTGCATTAAATAGAGGAAGGACTGACTTAGATTTTGATATATTAAAATTGTATTTTACTTAAAAATTCACGGAGATATTAATGTTGAAAATCGGGAGCATATTTTGGATGTGTCTAAAATTAGCGAAAATCAGCATATCAAATATTAACTTCAGCGTTTGTTTGCTTGATGACATATCAGGCTAACTTGTATTTCAGCGAATTGTCGTTAGGGTTTGTAAGGGATATGGCGTAGATTTAGACTTCTTACATGTAAGTTAAGTCTTAGCTCATTGTTTCCTGAAATATGAACGTACGAAATTATGCAAGTATTTAATAGGTCTTTACAAACTTTGCAAATTTATAAGGTACATGAAAGACCATGCAAGGCAGGCGTTAAATTTTTCTTAGCCTAATTTTTTATGTTTTTCATGGGTTCAAAACAGAGTTGATTATTTCTCGGTTAGAGCAGGATGAATATTATTCTGTAATGAAGGAAGTAATATTGCTTTTTGAAAATACACATCACAGTATCAACGCTACTATTTTGTTACGTTTTGTTCCAAAAATGTTGGATGTCTCCAGGGAGTTGCATGCTTAATTGTTATGTCTTATGGAGTTGTATGGTTTGATTGTGTTTCATTCTCAGTTTATTCTGAACTTAAAAAGATTAAGAAAAGGCAAATGAGTTTGAGTGTTCTTAACAAGATTTCAGAACGTTGTAGAAGTTAGAAGAGCTTCACAATTCCATTGTGACAGCATGCCCTAATTCAGAACTACGAACGATCCATGACGATCCTTCGCGATGCAGTGGTCTCATGAAATAAGGAAACGTATTCGTGCTAGGAACACACACAGATTTCGGACGAATAAATCTTGCTTGTATTTTGTAGATAATAATACTTTGTTTCATAATAAACAATTTGTCAAGTGTCATTTATTTACTGGTAATCGTGCATGTTTCAGTCGGCGGGCAAATCTTGATTAATATTTGATACGCCGTTTTTTGCATATTTCAGACACATCCAGAAATATGCTCCCGATTTTAAACATTAATATCTCCGTGAATTTTTAAGTAAAATACAACTGTAACATATCAAAATCTAAGTTAGTCCTTCCTCTATTTGATGCAAGTTATTTCTCCTTAAAAGGTTTACTTGTTTAGAAGTTATTACGGATCAAACC